TCAAAAACAATCATGATTAATATATTGATTCATCATGCTTATAAAATCACCAGCATGTGTGATTGATTTCATAAGGAGTTTTCAAAACATTAAAATTTTTTAAAGAAAAATGACTTTCCAAATAACAATATGTTTATTTGAGTAAGGTCAATAACCCTGAAAAATAAAAATAGGACCTTCCTAAACAACCTTGGTCAATAACATAGCCATATACTAGCAAAAATATTGATTGTGAACAATCTGTTTTGTTAACTTTTCATTGAGGTTATTCATTGAGATAATTTAAAAGTTACCTATAAACCTATCTGTAGATCATAATATTTGTTCAAGTTAAAAGACAAAAGACAGCTGTTCAATACAGTGCACAAATTTAAATGTCCTATCTGTAAACCTAAGTAGTTCTAGATGATTACAAACACACATAAAACAACATGCAAAACAAATCAGCTATGTGTAATCACACTCTTATTGAATGTGACTTAGCAATACATTGCTCATTTAACATTTCTTACAAGAGGAAAAGATGAGAAAAGATTGTATATAAAAGAAACTCAATTAATTAGCAGCTTACGGTCAAAACACAATAAACAAACTTTGGCAATTAACCCTATCACCACGGGTATCCTGTGCTGCACATAACAAGGTTTTAGTGTCTTACATTCAAAATTTTATTAAACTACTTTTTATTTATGTTATACCAATTAGTTTGGCATAAAATCTTAGTTAATAATCCATACTTTAATAGTATTTAAGTTCTTAGTTAGATAAGACAATATTAAGAAAAATCCCAAACTTCCCTAGTGTGACACATTTTCTCTAGGTATCTTCGCTTCTCTACTTTATCCATCACCCCTTCAAAAAGTACAAAGTTCAATGTAAATTACTCACTATAAAATCATCATTGCTCAGACAAATCATAATTTGTATAGCCTTCAGTTTTGTTTGGTTACACAGCTATCAAATAGAAAATCAGACCCCTCTTGCCACACCCACCAGTCACATCCTCTCTTTCAGGATGTGTTAACAGTTCTCTCTTATGTATAATTATATATTACCTATAACTAATAGAAAGCCAAGGTTTTCATATATCAAATGAGGTATTAGATTACATTGTGTCCTGAACAGAGAATCGTCAATTTCACTTGAAATACAACTTTGATTCCAATGGGAATGACAACGGCTTGCTTGGATGAATTTGTAACGACTCTTGTCGCATAGTTAGAAAGCCAGAAAAATTGCAATTGTGAGAGGAAATTGTCTGCTTTTTGCATGTTATTAGTCTATGTTATTTAGTGCATTATATAATTAAATAAAAATTATTTAATGCACTACTACCATTAGTATAGAAAAAATAGGGTTAAGTTGACAGCAAAAAAAAAAAAATCTGTATAAGTACTTTACTTCTTGTTTTTCATTTTTATTCTTTATTTATTACTATAAAAAATAACTAAAATGTAAAAATAGGTATCTCTTTAGGTTAGTTAAGGTTAGATTAGGTAAAATAAATAATAATAATAGAATAAAAATATTTCACAAGGGATGTAAGCAAGCAGCTCATGGGTAATGTAATTCAATGGTGCAATGTGAGCTGCATGTTTCCCCAAATGATTTACAACTTATAATGGTGCTAATAGTGGTTAGACACAGTTCAAAAGGCAATAAAACAAAATGTTATTATAAATAGATATATACTGTTAATATTCGTGCCATATAAGTTGTAAATCACATTACAAACAAGCAGCTCACACTACAGTATAGAATTACATAACGCATGGACTACTCGTGAATGTATCTTGTGAAAAATTATTATTACTATTTTTATTCTTTATTTTACCTTATCTAACCTAAACATTTTCCAATTATTAAATTTAGTTACTTTTGTAATAACAAGTGAAGAATATAGATGAAAAATATGAAAAGAATTACTTACCTAGGTCTTTTTTTTTTCCCCCTTTGACTGTTGATGACACTTAACCCTATTTTTTTTACATTAATGGTACTACTGTACTAAATAATATTTTTATTTAATTTAATAACGCACCAAAGAATACAGAATAATCACATGTAAAAAACAGACAATGTCCTATAACTATCACAATTTTTGTGGTTTTCTAACTATGCAACAAGAGCCATTAAAAATTCAGCTAAGCTCACTGATGTGTTTCCCATGGGAAGAAAGTTTGAACTGAAAGCAAAATTGAGAATTCTCTGTACAGGAAACAATGTAATATAATACATCATTCTTCAGATTAATACTTTGGCTTTCCATTGGTTATAAATAATATAGTACTAAATGTGAGAGAGAACTATTGGCAATATCAGAAAGAGATTTGACAGATCTATTTGAAGGCTCTGTAATTAACCCATTAACTGCTGCAGGAGCAGCTCAGTTGCCATTTTCTGACTCACAGATAAAACGGAGTTGCCATCAATCACAATAAAATGGTAATTTTCGTCATTTGCATAGAGTTATAGTTATATATGTGCGATTGACGGATATTTCCGTCATTCGCAACTGAGCCATAGAACTTGAATGCCGGAAATATCCATCATCCGCAGCTAATGGTTTAAATAAGGTATGAAAATTATGCGCTGCTTGACCAATAAAAACATTATAATGAGTAATTTACATTAAATTTCATACTTCTTCTAAGGGTGGTAAATAAATTAGAGAATAGAGAATGACTAGAGAGAAAATGAAACAATTCTTATACTAGGGGAAATTCAGTATTTTGTTTTTAATACCACTTTATAAAATACAGAACTTAAAAGGTATACATTATTAAAATTAGGTTTATTTGCTGCATTTTTTATGCAACATTTATTTGCATACCATGATAATAAAGTAGTTTACTTAAATTTTGAATGTAATTCATTAAAACCTCATCATATGCACAAAAGATGCCTGTGGTAAGAAAAAAATCAAGTATGCATAAAAACAATTTCTGTGAGAAAAAATGCTGTAGTTCTTCTGTTGTTAAGTTGTACCAGTAAATATGTACCTCAAAATGTTTTTAATTGTTAAAATACTAAAACTGTTTTTTGTACAAAATAAAAAATATAAATATATGCCTTTTTAGACCTAATACTATATAATATCTGACATAAGGTCAATGTCTGTTTTATTTAAAGAAGTTTAAGTCAAATTACATTTTCTCAATAAAGGTTTCATTTACAAAAGAAAAAATCCTAAACAAAGAAGTCACTAAGCTGACATAAGACTTCAGAACAGCCAAACAATGATTTTGATTGCAAACCTTTGTACACTCTGACATTACCATGTCAGTGATAAACAACAGCATGCATTAACCAAACCAATGATTTCCCATGCAATCTCTTGTCCACTCTGTTTGACACATCCAACACCAATGATAACCACACTGTGGTCGAGTGCAAACCATGTGCATACAACCACCTACAAATGTAAAAAAAGAACAGAAAAATAAATTTAATAAAATCTATACTTACTAATAAATCTGTGTTCCAGACACTAACAAGTAATATTTTACTACTATTTCTCTTTGAGAAAATAAGAGAATATTCTTATTGAAGACATTCAAAACAGCAGCTATAAAGAGTGCACTTCCAATCAGTCAATAAACAAGTTGGACAATGCCAAATGAAATACTTTTAATCAAATTCTTTCAAGTTTTATTTTGCTCTGTTGGCTATAACAGTGCAAGAACATGTTAAGAGACTAATTTAACTATCACATTATGATGACAAAACCTTGTCGAAACGTTGTACATTTGCTGTTATGTTAAACTTATATTTCATAGATAGTATGATGCCACTTAAAACTCATCTATTTGAAAAGGTCCTCAAGAGCACTTTCTGATGCAAAATATGTATACATTCAGAACACAATATGTTTATATTGAGGCATTTAAAATATGTGCAAAGAACAAAGAATATGGCTAACTTTGTGATATTCAAAATTTTATGTTATATGTGCAGAACAAGAAATACACAAATGATGGTTTCAGTTATTCCATGGCCTGTTATATGTATACATGTTGCAGTGGAAAACTGTTACATTTCACCCTTCCTTTCTTTGCAGGTATCCTGCATTTTTAAAATATTTTTTAAATGAGTCCTCTTACATAGTTAGAAAGGTCATAAACTTTTGCTAGTCTTCACAACACAGTGATTATTTTGATTGACCTTAAGAACTTTTGTTCCAACTTAACAGCGCAATACATCGTTACTCCTAACCCAGTTTTCAAAATGCTATAGAGTCCAGCCGGTCAAATAAATAAAAATAAACTTACTGTCCGAGATAAATTTATTCTCTAACAAACCATTACCTGAATTTGTCGTTTTTGGCATATACTCATAACTTACCTGCTGGATATCAGTGCACATAAATACCACAAGTTATCTTGGTGATATTCATCATATTATTCCACATCCAATAGTTTATGGTAAACTAAACTGGTGATAGTTTTTATTCCATATTGTACTGTATGTATACCATAAAGTAATCTGGTAATATATATTCCATGTCTTACTATATTCTTACTATAACCTGGTGACATTTGTTATTCCATGTCCTATTACATGTGTACCATAAACTAACCTGGTGATGTTCGTTATTCTATGTCCTATTATACGTATACAACAAGCTAACCTGGTAATATTAATTATTCCATATTTTACTATATGTAAACAACAAGGTAACCTGGCGATATCTGTTATTCCATGTCTTACTATATGTACAGAACTGCTCTGTAATACCTGTTAACAACAACAAAAAACAAAACAGCCTAATCATTATAAGCATACAGACTGTATAAAACATCAAAAAACAATCCCACATGTAACCATAATTTGTTACTTATTCTGCTGTGTACATGTATGAATACAGGAATGTTTCTTGATGGCTGAACTTATAATTATGCATTATAATCCTGGAGTTGTGTTATTTACATGTATGAATGTTATTCATACACTGTTCAAGAGAAAAAGAAAACAAAAAATCAATTGAAGGAGCTTTTTACCATCTTTTTCAGTTGACGTTCGACATTTTGGACATGGTTTTGTTGTACTTTTTATTGTTTTTTTAGTGTCTTCTTCCCATCTTGCTTGTTCCACATTTTCATCATTCAAAATGTAAGGGTACTTTGAAAACATAAAAAAAAGTATTCTCAGTTACTATAAAGAAACACACAACTTACACAAAATTAGCACAATATCCACAGGTTAGTTATTACTGAATTACTTAATGAACTGAAATATACTTATTCTGTATTCCAGAAATCAACTATACAGACTAACCTAAAAGAACACCACCACCCAGATATATCAACTATGACAAGCTTACAGTAATATGTCTTTTCTAAAGTATTTAACCTTACCAATGCTTTAAGGCTGTTGCAGCTAAAGAGTCAGAAATTTGAAATGAAACAATTTTTTTTTAGTTCCATAATTTACTTCAATACATATTTAAAAGTTAACAAATTAAATATAACCTTCAGAAACTGTGTTCTGAACTGGGTGAAAAAGTGTTATTAGGGATTTATTAGGGATTATAATACATATACGTCATTCCTCTACAAGATAAAAGGAACCTTTTGGTAGATATTCTGAAATTAAGTAAATGAAAGAGAGATGCTTTATAATTATTTTCAACACTAAACATTTCATCTTATGACCTTGGGCTTAAATACTAATGTTGTAAGACAGGTGGTATACAACTACAACCACTACTTTGGATGGAGCAATGTTAAATATCAAAGTGGCTGATAACCACAAACATTTTAACTTTTGGTTGTAGTTAACAAGATTATTGCATCATATGTTATCAAAATCTGTTACTTTTCAATGTATTTCAGTAACAAAAATACAGACATTGTAAGAATATAAAATATAATACTTTCTTTTTTGCCAAGTGTCAAAATAAAAATGCTTTTAGTTATATTTCTTGATAGTATATAAATATATACTATGTTGCTGTTGGGCTTAGCATTCATCTACAGTAAGTTTCTGTGACTTGTTAATGATAATTAAATAGTACACACTTCACTTGTTTTAAAAATAATATATATATATATATACATATTTGGAACAAGTTAAATGTATGTACAACAAATTCTTCAACACACTCTCCTTCTTGTCAAATAACCACTTAGGCCTATTAAATTACTTTAGAATTTCAGCTGACATGCCAAACCATCTTCTCTATTACTATCGCGCTAGTATTCTGTGTATGATTCACTTAGAATTGTGGTGTGAGTTACCGTAATCGTTTGGTCTTCTTTCTTCTGAAGATCCTCCGTTCCTTCTGTCAAAGTGCACTCAGGCTGATTCAATTACTTTAGAACCTTGCTTTGATGGAATAAATTATTTTTCTTATCTTCTTTTCTATTGTTAGTCTTACTCTAGCATATTAAACGTTAGTCCTATCTCTTCTACAGTAATTAAATTTTCCTTTTGTAACTTTACTTTCTTCTGCTGTTATCTGTCTGCTGCTTCCCACTCATTTCGCGATATTTATATCTTTATCACCTAATCGTCTGTCTGTCTTTTATATTCTCAACATCAATGTATTGCAAAAGATGTTCAATAGTCTCAACATCAATGAATTATTAACAAAACCTCCTACAATCATCTGCTTTTAACTCTTGTTATAACAAAAACTAAACAATAATAAAAAATTCACTCACAAAAAAACATCAATCAATAACATCTAAACTAAACAGTCTTTTATATCATGACAGACATTGTTACAACTTCACCACATGTTGGATATCAGGCTAAACATATTTAACAACGCTTTTATCAGAAATGACCTACTCTGCAGTACCAGGACTTGGTTAAACAACCAAAACCAAATTATAGTTCTGGTCTGTAACAATTGCTATATTTAGAATTAAAATAATTGCTCTTGAAGATCATGTAAAATATACTCATCAAACCATAAAGTCATGAAAAATGCTAAACATTTACAAAAAATATTTTCTGCCTGAAGTTAAATTCAAATATGAAACAGAACAGAATCAGTCCTGTAAGGAGAGCCATGACACAGCTATATAAAACTTCATGTGTTTTACAAAAACTATATTCCCATTATTTCTAATAATAATATTAAATTTCTAAGTATACATCTTGACAACAGACTTGTGAGAATAAAACATGTTAAGATTACATGCAAAATAAATAATGTAGCAATTACGTACTCATGTATCTAAAGTTGCCTCATTGTAATTACCTTCAAAATATAGAAATCCTTTACTCATCTTTTAATGGAGTATGGTTGAACTGACTATCTTAGCTATTTCAGTCAACTTAAAAATCTTTAAATAATCCAAAACCTTCTTCATTAGACTCCCAATAATTATTCTGAATAATTTAATTGATTTGCAATTAGGTAAATTTAGAAAAAATGTAACAAATTTTGTACAAAAAGATTATTTCTTCTCAGAACCTCAATAAAATCTTCCAAATGACGAGGAAAGTTAATTCAAAGTAAAACAAATAATTTGGTATTATCAAAAACCATAAACTTCATAAACCTGCATTAGTTCAAACTAAACCAGTTGTTAGTCTATAGTCAAGTAAATGATGATACGAGTCTTTACCGTTAACATGTCTGTCCTATTCCAGTCAGCATAATGAGTCCTGGTACTAGGCAAAAGGCCTTGTGAGCACTGTATATATCATTTACTTTTTAAAGTTCTTACCATTTTTATTTTTTCTTCTCCATTTTATATTTTCTTATTTACCAACAAACCTTGCACTCCTTGTGTCCACACAATCAACAAATTCACTCTAGATTTCCTCTGGCTTTTCTGTTCTTTTTCTTGCATTATTATACCAGTCATATATGTATTATTCTTTCACCAGTAGTACAATAATTAAACAGCTGCTCAGTGAGCATCCTTGATTCAACTGAGATATCTGTTCAATGCTTGACTAAGGTTAAAGAGAGTTTAGTGTACAAATACACATTTTCTGATTGAGGTTTTAAGTAGAATTGACTATACAGATTGGAGTTAGAGAGAGTTTATTATAAACAGAACCACTTTCGTACTGGAATTAGATAGTTTACTATATAGATAACCACTTGCTGATTGAGGTTAAAGAGGCTTTACTATGTAGAAACCAACCTTCTAACTGGAGTTAAAGAGAAAGTTTACTATGCAGATAACTTCCTTAATAGGGTTAAAGAGGGTTTACTATACAGAAAACCACCTACTGTCTGAGGTAAAAGAGGAATTATAAAATACAAAGAACCACAAGATGTACAGGATTAAAAATGGGTTATACTGTATGGAGAACCACCTGCTGTCTGGGGTTAAAGAGGGTTTACTAACAGACACACACCTGATAACTGGAGTTAAAGAGGGTTTACTATACATAGAACCACCTTCTATGTGGAGTTAAAGAGGGTTAACTATATAGAGAACTACCTTCTATCTGGGGTTAAAGAGTGTTAACTATATAGATAACCACCTTCCATCTGGGGTGAAAGAGGGTTAACTATATAGAGACTCATCTGCTGTCTGTGGTTAAAGAAGGTTTACCATACAGAAACCCATCAGCTCAGTGTGGTTAAAGAGGATTTACTATACATACAACCATTTGCTGACTGTGATTAAAAAGGGATTACTATACAGAGACCCACCTGCTGACTAGTTAGAAGGTTTACAGTACAAATATACCCTGCTGTCTAGGGTTAAAGAGGATTTACTATATAGAGAATAATTTGTTTTCTGGGGTTTAATATACAGTTAACAACCTGATTTCAGGAGTTAAAAACTCTTTAACAACCTGATGTCTGGGGTAAAAGAGGGTTTACTACACATACAACCACCTCCAGACTATGGTTAGAGGGTTTACTATTCAGAAACCAAGCTGCTAAGTGTGGATAAAGAAGGTTTACTTTACAGAGATCCATCTGTTCTTTAGGGTTAGAGGATTTACTATACAGAAGGCCATCTGTTATATGGAGTTAAAGAGGATTTACTATACAGAGAAAGAGCTGAAAATTGTGGATAAAGAGGATTTACTAAACAGAAACTCACCTGTTGTCTGGAGCTACACAGAGACCAACCTTCTGATTGTGGTTAGCTCTTTCCATACTAGGTTGTTGGATTACACTGACTTTTAACCTCAAAATAGCCATCAGAATTCCCATATTATAACTTTTAATAAGTAAGTGCATCTTCAAGAAAGTTAGCAAGCTTTCAGTAAACATTACAAATTTTTTGTGCACAAATTAAATATTTTTTACTGGAGATTTGTCTGTGAATATATGGATTCACAATGTCGACTGCTCCAAGTGCAAAGTGATTTTCATGTTCAGATTAAAAATATTTTTCTTCACTTGAAAATGTTCATATTTCATTGGTGTAATCTCTAAAACATCCTAAATAAATATCAAATGTTCTTTTTCAATAAGACTCTATATTTTATCTGTTATTTTCTCTACCCTAACTCTATTCACACTCAGTAAAGTTGACCAGCCTTGAAACCACCATACAAAAATATGAAATAAAATTACCCTTTCTTCTTTCTAGAATGGCTGCAATTTGTAACAGGAAAATACAGTTGTTTAAGGCTCGTAACATCTGCTGCTACTTAAATTTCATTGTTTTATTGTCCTTTGAAATATGTCTAACTAATAATCCTACCACACAAGTTGTAAATCACTTGGCGAACATATAGCTCATGTTACTGTATCGAATTACATTCGCATGAGTTATTCATTAGCATACGTAGTAAAAAGTGTTTATTATTATTATGTTACCTAATCTAACATTAGCTAACCTAACAAGTTTATAATTTTTACATTTTAGTTACTTTCATAATAATAGACAAAAAAATACACATGAAAATAAGAAATATGGTACTGACCTAAATCTTGTTTTTTGCCATCAATTGCTGGTGAAACTTAACCCTACTTTTTTTTTATACTAATGGTTCTACTACACTAGATGAGGGTCACTGATGAGGAGTGGAATTCTCCGAAACTAGTCTGGCTCAATACACACCCCTAATGAATGAATAGACTATTTCAAGCTTTTACTTGTTGTTAAACAATGTTTAAACAACTCTATTCAATTATATACCAGCTGCCCAGTGTCGGCTAACAATACAAAGAATTAAACTGTGGCAAAATGTTAAAAGTTCTTCAGATACCTATAGAATGATAGGTTTCTTTTTTGTGAGTAAAAAACACTTAAATACACCATTTCGATTTTCAATACCTTACTACTTATTATAAAGGCTTGGTTTGGTCTGTTACTTCATTGGTGGTAGTGTGCAGGATCAATGATGAGGAGTGGAATTCTCCGAAACTAGTCTGGCTCGAGACACACCCCCAATGAAAGAATAGACCATTCCAAGCTTTTACTTATTGTTAAACAATGTTTAAACAACTCTATTCAACTAAATTTTTTATTGAATTAAATACAGCTTGAAAGAACACAAATAATAAAATGCACAAAGCAATCAATGTCCTATAAGTATCACAATTTTCCTGGCTTTCTAAAAATTTTTCAAAATTCAGCTAAGCTTATTGATATGATTTCCATGAGAATAGTTTCAAAACGGAAGCTAAATAGCTAAGGATCTGTACAGAAAACAAGGTAATACAATATGTCATTTGATAGATTTGACTTTCTGTTGGTTACAAATAATATAGTATAAAATGTCTCGGAGAACTATTGGCAATTTGTGAAAGATGGAATGTGACAGGTGGGTGTGGCAAGTGGATCTGATTTTAGTTTATGACTCCTTAGATAAATCAGATTGAAGGCTATAAACATTATGTTTTTCCTGAGTAATATCTATATTATAATGAGTAAATTATAAAATTCCATACTTCTTGGAGGGGGTGGTAAATAACTTAGAATAGAGGAAAAAACCTAAACAAGAAATGCCATCATTCTCATACTAGAGGATTTTTTAAAGTATCTCCTTATAAAATTAAGAACTTAAAACTCATATGATATTAATATTTGGTTTATAAGTTTATTCATATACTATGAAAATAGATTAAATAAATGTTGAATTTAATTCTCTAATGAGTCATGACATGCACACTTTGACCTGCCCATGGCAAGTATTAAAGAGAAAATAAATATGTTTAATATGAAGATCTTGCATCTGGATCAAAGTATAAGAAAAATTTGATTTAAAAAAATAAATCACCAATTTTTTGCCACCCTGCTTAGTATACAGAGACCCACCTGTTGACTGTGGTTAAATAGGATTTGCTACAAAGAGTTCCACCTGCTGACTGTGGTTAAGAGAGTTCACTATACAGAGAACTACCTGCTGTCTGGGGTTAAAGAGGGCTCACAATACAAAGACCCACCTACTGTCTGGGGTTAAAGAGGGTTTTATATAAAGAGAAACACTTGTTGTCTGGGATTAATGAGGGTGTAATATACAGATACCAACCTTCTGATTGTGGTCAAAGAGCAACACATTAAATAGTTATGCAGAAATGGAGTTTTACAGGAAATATAGTTCATTGATTCACTACTTATCAAGGCTCAATATTTTCAATCTTCAATAATTCACATAAGTTTGCAAAATTTTACTGTCAAAAATATAAATATCTGCACATTTTTTCAATGATAAAATCATAAAGTTTTTCATGTTACATTAATATACTTAATATACACGGTTAACTCTTATCTAATCTTATGCAGCTCATGGACACAACATTGTATTATTGTACTTGCTGAATAAGTGTAGAAATGTCTTGTTATCAATTATACAAAAAATAAAACAATCAAGGAATGTTAAGTTTAATAATAAAAGAAAGGAATTAAATGAGATATTGAAATCTTCTGCTGCTTTAATAAATAAACTTCTTTTAGATGTAGGGTTTAAACTAATGTTCAAAAGTGAAAAAAATCAGAAATACATTAAACCACTTCTTGAACTTTTTCAACAAGAAAGAAACTAAATTGTAAAGCCCTTATTTTGCAGTTTATGTTGAAGTACATACATTTTCTATTTTGTTTATGCATGTCTCTTACTTAATGTTCACTGAGAGTGTAACCTAAAATAATGTTACTCAGTTAACCAATTAGCATTAAGCTCTTGTTGGCAGAATCATCAATCATTGCATAAAATAAATTTCTGAAATAAACTTGAAGATAACTTTTATATGCAGAAACATATGTTAGCTGAGTTCTTGCACAAATCTTAAAATATAATGTTGGTAAATAGAAACATCGGCACATGTAGATACGTAGATCTTGAAAGTTGAGTTGTTCCAAACTTGAAAATAGCATTGATAATTGGACCAATTGTTGGTTGAGATGTTGCAAAGGAAATATCTGCTGAAGCTTTTCGACAGACACTACTCATAGCAGAACCATATGGAAAATGATCTATAGGATCTATAACATCTGAAGCAATAGGGTTTAAAAAAGCTTCAATGTTTCAAGTTTGTTTTTCTTGTAGTCTTTCAGTGCAAAATTATAAGAACTGTGAATGGTGTCTCTAAAATGTTACAAAAAGAATCAATTCGATCTCATAAAAGCTGTAAAACAGAGCCAAAGCACTGCTGAAATAGTAGGACCCTATCATAATGAATTTGAGAAAGCAAGGGAGACTGTAGTTTTTTTTTGCATTAACCCTTTTGCAAGAGGAGCTCCTTTAAATGCTTTTCTGTACAAGCCACTGTGTTACATTTAAAATTTAATTAAGCACCTTTAATATTAATGTATGTGAATGAATTTAATATTATAATGTGTATTATGATTTGAAGTTTTATTTTATCCAAGTTTTAAGCCCTTTATTACAAAATAAAACCTTTAAAAAACTACTTCAACTTCAGATGTATTATTGTGACCAACGAGCTATGAAAAATCTCTAATTTGGCTCTTTGTATCTTCAATAATACGATGGTAATAGAGTAGAGGTATGTCTAGCCACTAAGATGCTTACATTACATTCTGACTCATTTCTTTCAAAGTACTCTGAATGAATAAAGTTAAATCAAGTAGTATATATTTTTCAACCCCTGACAACTGTCACACCCACCTTCAACATATTTGTTTGAGCTTTATCCTTTCCATGTAGACATTACACATAACATGTGTATAACAACTAGAAAAGACTCATTTTACAGTATAAACTAACAATGGTTACTTTTAAATTAGTGACAAGTCATCATCACAGATTACATGAAATTGACTGTAGTATTGTTGGCTGCTTGATCAACTATAGCACTTGTGGTTGTTTCTTACCTAAATATGTTATAGTTAGAGATACAGTTTAAATTGTATTTAGGTCTTACTGTCATATTTTAGTAAATTATGTATTATTTATGTTTTAAAATGCATAATTAAAAGGATTAAACATTTTTAAATATTTGAAAAGTTTTTTTTGGTGTACAAAATTTGAAGATAGCTTTTATAAGCAGAAACATCTGTTAGCTGATTGTGGTTTAAATGGCGTATTACTTTTATCAAAGTAACAGAAAGTTAAAGCAACAAGAAGAATGCAGAAAATTCTATAATTCTGAATAAAATGAACATAACTGAGCACTAAAATGTCAAGGAAATGAATGAGCTTTTGAAATGCATGAAGTTCTCAAGAAGAATACTGTGCTTGGAGGATATGACGATTTCCTACTGGTGAAGGGTATAGTATAATGCTGATTGCATTACAAAATGTTGCAGTAAACGTTATTATATGTAGGCATAAGAATTTCCTTCAAAGGCTTGGTGCATGAGCAAAAAACTTTTTAGCAGTGGCATAAGATATTTGATCTATAGAGAAGTGAGCAATATTTCTAAAAATGCAACGATAAACAGCAAAGCTAAATTTTATAAATATACTAGCAAAAGCACCCAGCTTCCCTCAGAATATTTGGTTGATATATTCTAGATGACTATGTCAGTTTGTGTATTTAGAACCTATTGTAGCATAGAAGAACAGTCAAAAATATTTTAAGTATTAATATTTTCTAGAAACATAAAAATGCCGTAACTAAAGTACAGTAAATTAAGAATTATTTATTATCAAAAGAACTTTATCATTGTGTTAAATATTTTCCATTTATATTTGGTATCATAAATTTCTATCACATTTTATCAGAATCTATTACAAATTTTTACCATTGCAGTACTCCAGGTTCGACAATATTGGTTGTTTTCCAAAAGAAATCACAGGCAGACATACAGAAACTCTTTATAATAATAATAATATTATAAATAAGAGGTGGTTCCTCATATTACTTAGGGTCCACTTAGTATATGGGCAGAATTTCAGGTTTCTAGGTTCTTTCCTCTTGGAGTTATGGCAGTCACACACATGCACACAGAAACACATCCTTTTCACACACACACACACAGACACATCCTTTTATTATTATAGATATCTGAAAAACAAATACAAACAAGAAACTTACCTCTTGTGTAGTGTTTATGTTATCAATAGGCTCACACCTTCCAATATGATAGCCTTGAAGACACAAACGGCAAAACACAAACTATAAAACAAACAAAGGAAGACAGTCTTACTTTTTTTAGTAGATACTTTAAATATATTAAGTTTACATATTTCTCTTTTGAAAAAAATATATTACAAAATAATAATTCTTAAAATTAACAGACTAAACCATGAATAAATCTTCTTATTAGTTACTATCAATTTTATAAATTAAAGAAGATAAATAGTTTACTTATTATAGATGTTTTGATTACATTTACAAAAAAAAGCAAGTCCAGAACATCTCTTCTTTGAAATACTACACAATGTGAGATAGCAGCTTAAGGTTTGAAAACTACTTTACATAGTCACAAAGGATCAGCACAAAAAGTCTGGAATACACAGTTTCATGATCTAAGGAGAGCTAATCAGAGATATAACACTACAGCATGGGTAAAGTTAATGATTACCAAAAGATTCATATGGGAAGCTTGAAAAGGAAATAAAATTCAGAATATTGATAGTGTAATTGGTCCATGTGCATAAACCACACGATGACATTGATTCAAGAAACTTCTAAGCAGAATTCCTAAACATATTAGGAAAAGACCCTCTCATGCTCACTTTATATATTATAACATAATATATAAAAACCTTAAGTAAGTGCATAGTCAGTTTGTCAGTCAGCTAGCCAGACTACTAACCAAGTATATTCAGCAGTCACTTAGTTAAAAAATCAACCTATAATCATTTTTTCTTGATGTGTTTATTGCTTAGAATCAGCCATCATGTAAACTTCAACTTCCCCAAGTTTAAAATTTTTTATATTAAAAATAAGTTATTTAACTAACAGCAGAACTTACTGAACTGAAGGTATTAGGTACTATTCCATGATTTAGATGTTATTAGTCATTATTTACTAGTGAATTGAAGTATGTTGCTTCAATTTAAAGATTATTTATAATTTATTACTAATTTAAAATATGCTGCTTCATTACAACATTCAATAATTCTTACTGTTTTGTATAAATGTATATATATTTCAAAATAGTCACGAAATGTCTTGCTTTGTAATCACACATTATGACTGTTTCCTTGGCTCTCAAGTAAACTTCTCCAGTTGGAAACCAATGTATACATAACTGGTATTTCTAATAAGTAATATTGTAACTGAGTCAGAAGTAGGCCATGGTGTCTACTTGGAAGTGTTGTACAAGCGACCCTTTATACTAATAACCAAACCATTTGTAGTGGTTGTCATGAGCCAGATGGGGCTTGCATTCCCACTCAGAAACATGTGTTGGTTAATTCATCCCTACACCTGCTTATTCTTGTAAGCATATCACTATACAGAAATGAAATTTCATGACTTTTCAATGACCATTTTTAGAAATTCAAGGACCATTTCGTATGGGTTATAGAAAAACTGCACTTGGATGTACATTTTAAAAGGTAAATATCATACAAATAAGGCAGTAATATTTTTGATTAATAATCTAGCACATTTCTTGTTTGAAAGTTTCTGTTCAATTCTCACTATGACAACCTTCAAGAATTCTTCCTTCTTTCTAACAGCTTTTTTTGGGGAATTGACCATTGTGAGGTGGCTAACATTTCGTTCCCTTAGCTTTCTCAGAATTTACATCAGCTGATGAAAGGAGCTGCTTAATGTCAGACCCAAGTCTGATCTTCTTATTTTTGAGATCTTCCAGTTCCAATTCAACTTCTTTGACCTTTCTGTGATTTCTGCTTTCTGGATTTCTTCACTTCAAACTACAACCTATACTTTTGTCCAACAAAGGTAAAAACTTCTGTCGTTATGTTTACATTCAGGACATTACCAGCATATCTAATGCAGTCAATTATGACTCCCCTAGCATAAAGGGACAAGCTTTGATCTTTTTCTGTAATTGCTTCTTTATTTACAGAAAAGCCCCTTTTGAAACTGGTCTGTTCATGAGACAGGAAAATGAGTTATGAAAACTTTCTAAATTCATCTGAAATTGATATTTCTTTGACAAGATTTGTAAATATAGAGTATCTAGTCTGTCCTGCTCTCTCTGAAACATATTAACTCTTGAATCATGCAACTGCAGGGATGTCATGGAAAACGTTTTTTTTTTTACCATCTGAGAATAGTGCCACAGCCCTTTCTTCCATTCTGCCTGTCTTTATCATACTTTTTTGACAAGCTAAAAGAGCATTTCTGATGAAGGACTTGAATTAAACGTTTCAGTTGCTAACTATAGATCTCTGCATTGACAGTTCGCCATGGATCGAGGAGTTCAAAATGAATTACTCCTCTGATGTCCCACCAAATGCAAAGCATCACTTTCGGCGGATGGAGTCCACATTTTGGGGTCGGAAGTGGTTTTTGTCTAGGACTAAGCCATTGTTTTTGGCATTTAATATTCGCAGAGAGAATCCATTTTTCATCACTAGTGACAATTCTTTCCAAAAAATGGTTCACGCAAATTACGTGCCAAAAGAGACGAAGCAATGTTCACACATTGGAAACGATGATCATCAGAGAGTTCATGAGGCACCCAAACACCTTCATTATGGAGTTTTTCCACATTCCTTAAATGTTTACATATTTTTGCATGAGAGACATGCAATGTCAGGGCCATTTCATGAGTTAAGGCTAAGTCACCTGAATGAAATTTGCTGAACCATTGTTGACAGTTACAAACGTTCAAAACATTTCCATAAACTTCTTTGATATTCTTCGTGGCTAAAAAGGTGTTGTTTCCCTTCTTGTATTCAAACAGCATTACATTCCAAATCTGTGTTTCATTGTGTGCCATCACTATAAGGGATTAGAGTATACTAAACTTTACACATTATATAGGCTACACTAACATGACATTTAGGTGGTTCGTTTAACTATTATAAGTAATGTACGTTTTTTTTGGGGGGGGTAATGAAAGTGTTTCAAAAAGCTACATTATTTCTTGACGACCTAATATTTATCACAAATTTTTGTAGCCTTCTTTATAAACATTAAGGACTTTCCTTGTAACAAAACCAGTATCAATTTTGGAAGGTTCTTTTAAAATCTTTTCATCTGTAAAATCCAAGCTTGCAATTTGTTGTGGTCCATTTCAGTTTTTCAGTCGTTTTGAAATGACAAATATTTCCAACAATTTCCCAACAAGACCAAAGAGATCTACAGCCATAAAAGGCAACATCTGTTTTTCATCATGTAATTCTTTGAGAAAGTACTTGATTTAGTTAGCAACTGAGAGAAAAAACTGCTTTGGGGACAAAGAGATGGAAATTAATAGCTTCACAAATACTGTATAATGACTTAAGTTTTGGTGGGTTTTCTGTGCACTCATGTATTTTTAAGATTAGGTAGCAGGGACAAACTCTTTTCCACAAACTGATGTTCCACAATCATCAGTGCTTACAAAACTTTGGTGGAAGATCCAAGAATCCACTCTCATTTTCTAAGTTATCAGCTCTTGCTGAAGAATCTTTGAAAAAATAATAGTAATTTGCCAGAGTTTCTTCAAATTTCTAGTCAGCTGCTTTACACTCAACTCTAAATGCATTGTGAATTGTGTATAAATGACAAGATCCAACTAGCTACAGGTGTCTTTTTGGATTGAGTTTACTAGCTTCAATTGTTAACATTTAATCTAATTTCCAATTAACACTGGAGCCATCCATGGATATCTGCAATATATTCTAGAACTGAGGTATGTGACAACAGGGAACACTTATCAAATAGATCAGTAGCATGTCCTAAGAACTTTGATTTGATGCATCTCGTGTGGACAGTTTTTCATCCCAAAAGCAAGTATGCATGTCACACTGTTTCATGTTGAAGAATTTGTTCAAGCTCTCTTCAAATAAATGAATATATCCATCAGACTTCTGGATTTTCTGCTTCAATATGGAAGTGAAATATGGAACTAATCCATTTATTGGTAAGTATGATGCTCTGTCTTCTACAGATGAAACGTTTGGACAATTTCACTGTTGAGGAACATACTCTTGAAAATTCGATGACGAGGAACCCACTTTGAGACTAATAATG